CGTAGAACCTGCACCTGGACTTCCAAGGCTTCAACAGCGCAAGTGCTCCACTGTCTTCATCGGCGAATCGATCCAGCTCGAGCAAAACCGTGGAAACGAATCACAACGACCTGGAAACACACCGGCTTCACCAACCAAAACCTCACCACCCAACCTCCAACTGATCGAACTCTCCCACCTCGCCCGCTGCGGCCGTGAGCTTGAACTCAGTCGTGCCCCAGTAGTCGGGTGGCAGCTCCACAGCCCCTTCGGCGAAGACGCGGAGCGCCAGGTCTGCGCTGCTGTAAGCATAGGAGGACATCCTCCGGATGGAAGGACGTGGAACGAGGACGTGGAAGGACGTGAGAATCGACTTGAGCTTTTGGGATGTCGTTCAGGTGACCGTGGATCAGCATCAACTACTACTACTACTGCTGCTACTACTACCACCTACTATGCTGACTGGGGCTGAGCAATTCCTGACTGTGACTATAGGCAATGCTGGCTGCTGGATCCTTAGGGTAACGCGACCTCAGAAAAGGCGAATGAAAATTGTCAGTGCACAAACACACAAGGGACCACTTCTTAAGAATTATATAAATATTCTTAAGAATCGGAATAGAACGGAATCACCCACCACTTCGGGATGGTGCTATATTACAATGTATGTAATTACAACATTATTGTGAACTTATGAACTTGTCAGGGTCTCACAATGAACAAAAGGTATGTTTGAGAGAGGCATACTCCACTTCCAGCTTTGTTCAACAAAGGTAGCTGGGAAGGGAGTAATTAACTCAGACCTGCTTGGTAGCATGGTTTGATCAAACCTGACAACAGTTGAAGGGTTCCGACTTTGGGGAGAGCCTTTCATGCATACCTTGCAACGCAAAATCTGGGGCATCGCCGCGGATCTTGAGTCATAGTGGTCCGACGACGACCGGGGGACCAAACCATTACGACCGGCGTCTTGTGGCCAAATAGTTTGATCCGTTAAAAAGGAACACAACTCAGGTGTGAGTGAGTCCCTGAAACCAAATGGGCCCCTTTTTCAAGGGGGGCTTGATGAACGGATCACCTTCCAGTATCTGTTCCGTTGAACTCAGTTGTCTTTAACCCTAGGGATCCAGTCGTACCTTCTCAGGTTCGGTGGGACTGGGGGCCCGGGGTGCCATTGTCGGGTCCAGGTGCGTACGACTGGATCCCTAGCTCTTGGAGCAAAAGAGAGCCCAGAAATCCACCCCATCCGCCCCTTCCGGCCCCTTCCCCGTGTTCCTCACCACACAGGTCTGCGAATCGAATGGCAACATGTCAAAGTTCATGGGGCAGCGGAAGACATGTTTGAAACGTTCCTCAGTACAGCCGCGGATGAGGAGTTGCAAATGATTTTTTCTCCAAACTCTGGCTAATTTCGGATGGTTTGGGGCCACTTCTGTTGAAAGAGCTAAGCAACCGCTGCAAGGGATCCTACAGAAAAGCTCACAAGGTAAAGGCTCGGACTTCCAAGCACTAGAGACACTAGAGCTACGCAAGGCGGATGATGCCTGAAAACAGCCATCTCCAATTTTGGCATTTCTACTAGTAGCAAGAAGCTACTAGGAACACAGGGCATCGCTACTGGTAGCAAGAAGCTTCTAGTAGCTCCTGGCATTACCACTAGAAACAGGAAGCTACTAGTACCAACATATCACCCAGCCCATGCCGCGCCTTTCACGTCTAAGCCCTCCATCCGATGAGGCTCTGATCTGAAAACATAGCCTTTGGAATCAATGGTCAGGCCGCCTGCGCCATACCATTCACTCACCTTGCCCACGGGAGGAATACCGGGAGCCAAATCGACCGTGCAAGGGGTTTTCCGCCCAGTTCGTGCAAGCGGTACGACCGGAGCACGAAATAGGACAGCCGTCCAAGAGGACATCGGCCTTTGGTTCTGCGATTCGATTCTTAGAATGCCCAATGCCCTTTGGTTCCGCTGGCGGAGCACATGCACAATCAAACACAAAAGTGCCGGCTGTAAATGAATATGCTAACATGTTGTTCACAAGTGGCAAACATCAAAATACACAAATCATTGGGGCTTATTTATGTTCATTTGCTATATCAGGTTGTTCTTTGCAGCGGGCTCACAAGAAAATGGCGGCTCAAGGCACCCTGAAAATGCCACGAGTTCGAGGCCTCCTACCCGGCGAAGCTCTCAAGGCAAATGAAGCGATTTGTTTAACTGCAAATACTGTGCAGGTCCATTGTTACGTTGCGATCTGGGTTGAGGCATACGCGGCATATCCCCAAAGAAGTGTCTTCACAGCCCAGAGATTTGCAACAAGCAAGAAGATCAACTGTCTCCTACAGTGTCCAGGCAACTATAGAGTGAAGACATCAAAGTCTGGAATTGAGGTGGGGTCACTTTCTTGTCTGTTTTGGCTTCCAGGAAACTGAGTTGTCGAAGTAAAGGTCCGGCTGCCAGAATGGAAATGACCCGGACTTCGTCGGTACCTCGAGCAAGTTTGGCCATTCGTGCTGAAGAAACACGTCATCGGATTATCTCCTTGTTGCATGTCATGTACTATTGTTCGAGATGTAAGCCAGAAGTCCGTGCTTCATGAAAAGTATAGGATCCACCATTTGACAATGACTCGATGGATACACGCCGCCGGCATCATAACGGCGTACATTGTTTCGACCTATGCGCATCAAACCGGTCTGGCTGACAGGTGTTAAGTCTGTCATATTATACTCCAAAACATATATATAATATATATCATAACATTGGTTGGGTCTATCATTTTACCAGGTCTCAGTGGATGATGATGGTTAGGTTGCAGGCCGATATCTCAAAGTCCAAAAAAATTATGTTCTTGTTTGCCGACTGTTCCACGTAACAGGACGTCGACCCCCAAAAAAAGAAAAGAACCACTCACGTCGTTTTTTCACCACTCCATCTCCATGTTCATCGCTGGGCACTGTGAGGCTCTCGCAGTTGAATCGGGAGATGTTCAATCTCGGATCCGTCCAAGCAGAGCCTCAGAGAGGTGGACCTTCTGCCTTCAGGCAACCAACGGAGGGTAAACTGGTCAACAGCAGCCAGCCGTTGGTCAGCACCCAAAACCACCAAAACACACAGCCCACAGCAGAAGCAGCCCACAAGCAGCTTGAGTAACTCCCCCCCAACCAAGCACCGACAAGAAAAACGCAGGTGTTGCATGTGGGAATAGAGAATTGATGAAAGCCCCACGGAACAAAAAAGCCTGGTACCCGAAACCATACCCAAACACTCCATGTATGGCATATTGACATACATTGGGTGGTTTCAGGGGTCAATGTAGGCATATATGCCATGTGATACATAAGGGATATCATCGCACAATAATCGTTAAATCATTCAAGACTAGATAGCAGCCACGACCTCTCACACTGACGCGCAACTCACACAAAAAAAAGAAACACAAGTGCACAACACAAGAAAACTCAGGGATAAGTCAGCAAGGGACACACACACACACACAACAGTAAGGGCAAAACATGACAAACACATACTACAGGTACAAGTGCACCAAGTACAGATCGGGCGCACACGCAAAAAGACACACACGCACGAAAGGAACTCTTTTTCGGTCTGACGTCCAGTCAAAATAGTTCCTTGACACGTTCGTACTCCATGTGTTCTAAACCACGTCTTGGGTCAGTCCTTCTGCTTCTCCCCTCCCATGCCCGAAAGTCATCCCGGGCGGTCTCACTCTTTCTCCGGTTGTTCTCACCGGGCGTCGGTAGTAGCCCTCCAAAATCCTTGGATTTGCTCAAGGAACCGAGAAAAACAACATTGAAGAGGATATTTATCCACAGGGGCAATCACTATAAATTCACCTATTTCGCCTGGAATCAACTGCTGATCCTTCTGGTTCACCGCAACGATGGAGGCCACATAGAGCCCCAGCGAGACATTGACTGGAAGGCCCGTGAGCTGCCCAGGATGCGCTAGGCCTTGGGGCAGTGGGCGGCTGTGAGACAAACTCCTGGAGTTGAACTGCAAGAGACCCGAACCGAAATACTCGGATGATCGTTCGACCTCTCGAATTGAAACCACATGACATCTTCAGATGGTTTTCTCCAAATATTGGTGAAAACAGCCCAAAACAGCCACATACTGAAGCTTCGAGCCAGTGAGTTTGAGCCTTTTGGGATTTGGTGTCATGTTTTGCATCAACCATCCACGTAGTGGTCGGCTCACCCTGGCGCCATGGAAGAACCATGCGGTCCATGCGGTCCATGCGTCTGTCGTAGTCTTCGCTCAAGTTGGCCAAAATCTCCGTGGGCCTTGGACAGCTCTGAGCCGTTGCGCCCAGCACGCCCAGCACCAGGACGTCTCGCAGCGCGCCCAGCATGGCCGAGCATGGCCGAGCGACTGCTGGGTTGCTGTGAGGTAAGAAGGCCTAAGGGACTTAATGGAATTACACATGTTGAAACAGATTTGCCAATTGAGGACCGTTCACTTCTGTTATATAGACCATATAGCTGCCATACAATATTCTGAGAAGAGAATATCACAAAGCTGTCTTTCTAGCATAGACTTTGGGCCCTTGATTGATGGCTTGATCGAATGATTTCCTTGTTGTCGAAGTCATGTCCACATGCTACAGGCTGCGGGCCGTGATTTCCAACGAGGAAATCAAACATACAAGGGACCAATCATACCCTTGATCGACTTGTTAATCGGTTTATACACGTGTGCACTAGTTGTGCAAGAAGCTCCTCTCATTGTAAGCAAAATACAAGTGGTATGTTGCCTTTATAGTGTGCGATCCAGTCCAGTACTACAGCTCGGGACGCCAGCAACGCCGGCTAACAACTTCTTCACATTTCTTCAAGCCCACCCAAAAAGCACAGTCTGAGGCAAGTGGCGACTCGATCGAAGAGTTGGCCTCAATACGATTACCTCTTCCTTGAACTGACTCCTCACTTCTCACCTCGGACGTCTGTCATCCACTCACTCCGCCCAAACAAGGCGCCTTCCTGGGCGCCCCCACATCTTCCGTGCTCTCCGCCTTCAGCGTGCAGTCCACGAGCACCGGCCGGCCCGAGCACACCTGGCAGGTGCGCGCGGTTTTTGCGCGCGCGGAGCTCCACGCAGGCGAGCGCTGAGGAGAAACAGTGCGGCAGTGTGAAACCAGCTGGCTAAACTAGAAGTAAGATCACATGAGGTTCGCACCCTGCAAAAGCAAAGTGAGTGAAGGATCTTCCTTTGTTCCTTGCAAGTTCCTTCTCTGCACCCTGCGGATGGCCTCCACGCAGCTCATGGCCTTTTGAGTGACTGGCTCTGAAGGCCTGGAGCCGAAGTCTTGGAGGCTGTGAGTCCTGATCTGAGGTTCCAACTGGACCCGTTTCATGGGGGGGGCCCGGTTCAAGTTGGCGGGATCCATATATATAATATATACCTAGAACTCATTTGACCTTTGTTTTGATAGGAAAAGACCATGTTTTGGCTCCAAAACAGGGGCCAATCAGGCTCTAGGTATATATATATTTATATGTATATATGTGTGTGTGTGCGTGTTCAAACACTCACGCTCAAACAAATGGTGACAAGCAGGTATTGTTGTCATGGCTCCTTGCTACTGGGAAAGCCCTTTACTGAACAGGAACTGTGCTATAACTTAAGTCAAACAAAAACATGAGTCTAGCAACTTGCTCATTTCAGCCACCGCAGCTTCGTCCTCGGACGGTTTACTCGAATACCTTCACTCGTTCATCGCTCAAACCCATCTGCTTGGACGCAGGTCACCCGTCCAAAGACCACAGTTTTCTGGGCTTCCCGGACGCCAAGCTCAAAGTCAACCTCCAAAACCTCAGAGAGGTCTCACATCGTAGCGGTGGCATCGTAGCGGTGGGGAGGACGAGAGAGGCAGGCGTAGCACCGATGATCGCTCGCATCTCTTTGTGCGGCTCGCATCTCTTATTTTGGTACTAATCTCGTTCACAAGCAAATCTCAAACTATGACACGTTCATATTGCGGGCTGATTTCACGCCCTTCAAGCTCCAGATCAAAAGACAACCGTTGGATCTAGATTCATTGCGCATGTTTCATCCTCTGGAAGCTGCATGCACCATGATAGGAGCTATAGCCAACAGCTAACCGCCAGGGCAATTTACAGAACTGAGGCACATTTCCAAAACACATGCAACACTACATGCAAGAACCAAACAGTTACGGCCCGGTTGTTGCAAAAAGGGGCTGCAGGAGCTCCTGGTCAGTGTTTTCCCTTCAGACGAGGCAGTGACCGTGATTTCGAGGATGTTTGCAAGGACATGCAAGGACCGATTTGGCTCCCAACGGCTTCTTCAGTCCACCATGGGGGCAAGCCCCCCCCCATCGCCCCAAATTCAGAATATTGAATGCTACTAGGGGCTCCTGGCCATACTGCTAGGAACAAGAAGCTACTAGACTAGCTACTGGGGGCTCCTGGCCTGGCTAGGAGCAAGGACGCTGCTCAGTGGTTTAACAGCGCCCAATTGGCTTGGGCCAGCTACCGCAGCCGTCGCACCGCAGCTGCGTCGTCGCTGAGCTCCCCTGCACCACAGCGGCGTCAGCGTCCACCATCACCTGTGCATGTGGAGAGTCAAGAGCAAGGTTGGTTGAGAATCACACAGATGCATTCGAAACGCCCAGGTGCAGTGGTTTCAGAGTAATTAGATGGCGCAATCCCCCAATGTCGGTGGTTGATATGGACTTTCATTGAAGAAAGAAACTCTGGGGGTTCGTGCCATCTATTCTGAAACCACTGTAGGTGATGGACCCTGGAGGGCCCAAAGACCTCGGTCCTTTAAAGCGAGCGAGAAAGAAGAGTCTGTCTTCGATCTTCGACTCTAATCGGCTTAGGCTTCGACTGCCCGGTTAGCCCCGGAAGGAAAGCACGACGAGTGGAACATATCAGAACGAAGCTCCGCGCGAACGAAGCTCCAGTCCGCGTGGCCTTCTCTCTGCTCGGTGATCCCTCAGTCCTTCGAATTGACCGCCAGCCTTCGGTCCCGTCCCCGACGCGAAAACGGTGCCAGCCGGCTGCTGAGCCATCCATTGATGGCTCACTATAGCGGTGCAGCCGTGCAACAATCTGCTGTGCTCAGGTCATCTTGCCACCCTGGCTGATGTAGAGGAGGATGGAGTCG